AACCAAAGTTTTACATTGAAATTACAAGACAAATCTTTGAAAATCTTTTTCTGCATGCAGTACCACTTGGTCAGGAAAGCTGAAACTTATGTGGAAGCATCCTGGGGTAGTGTAGATTCTTAATTGTTAAAATCATGACCCCCTGAATCCAAATTTTTACATTGAAATATATAGGTGAAATCTTTAAAAATCTTTTTCTTAAGAACCATGACCCCTTTAGTCAGGATTACAAGGGGGGAAATCTGTTAAAGAGCAGCATTCCCAAAGTTACTTAGGTGAGTGATGTGACTCCTTTGCCTCTTGTTTAGATTCCAATTTTAAAGGAAACATATACTCATCAGAGTTAAAACACAAATTTTCATGTTGCATTAGTTGGATACACTTAGTGGAGCATTCATGTCTTATGAACACTTTTATGCCCCCCTTTGAAGAAGGGAGTGCATATTGCTTTGCTGCAGTCTGTCAGTTGGTCGATCTGTCAGTCCACTTAGTTCCTGTTCATTTTCTTCACAACTGTTACACATACTGAAATGAAATTTGGTATACAGATTTATCAGATGAATATCTAGGATTTGTTCTGTTTTTGGGTATGATTGAGCCATTTTTGACAGAGTTATTATGCCCCTTGGGCTTAGAAAAATTTCAATTATCGGAAATTATTGAGACAATTACATTTACTCCATAAAGGACAGAGATAATTTCATGAAAATTCATCAACATTTTATAAAGAACGAATAAGACACTAACAGTACAGGCCACGAGTTTTCCGCATAACTCGGTGGAAAAAGCACCGTGTGAAACGCTCTGTGTTACACCGTGTACACGGTGTAGCACGGTGTGTGTGGATTTGAAATATACAGGTAGGCACACCGTGCCATACCGTGTCTAGAAAAACTCAGCTATTGTCCTCCGTGTCGCACCATGTCCAGTAAATTTCCCTCCGTGTTGCACGGAGTGTCCAGAAAATTCTCCTCCAAGCTGCACCGTGTAAATAGTATTACAGACAAAATCATTTGTTTCTGATAAAAATTAATAATAATCTTTGATGATAGTTTATAACTTTGGTTTATGTATATATAGTAATCATTTTTATTCTACCAGATATTGGACTCTGAATGGCACACATGATATTGAGATTAGATATTGGTAAAAAAAAATTGAATGATTTTCATTTGAATTAACTGTGTGTCTAGAAATTTATATTTTAGTAAAATTATTCATTCACGTTACAAAATCAAAATTATGAATTTTATTTTAAATGAATAATTTAATCTCGTGTTCATGTAACAAAGGAAGACGAAATGGCGTCGAGCTGCTTTCGTGTCACATACACTGTATGTAGTATAAAATCCGAGCTGTATTTATGTTCATGGTTTTAACATGTACAATACTTGTACAATCCAAGCATTATTATGTATATTCCTTATTAAAATACATTTATTTTGTTCATCTTGAATTATTCTGAATGTGGATGCGAAAATTGTTAGCAGAAACATGAAATCAATGCAATAATTTCAAAGCGTATTTCTCGTAACAGCAAACATTATTTTCATAGATTAGTGTTCACTACGTTATGTTTTTAATATCCTTTCAGTGTAAGTAATTTTTTTAAAAAGATTTTTCTTTATTCTAATAAGTTTTTCTTTTCTTGTAAAGTGTATAAAAAGCAATACCAGAGAGAGAGAGAGAGAGAGAGAGAGAGACACTCATACAACCCCCTTCTAACATACTAGTAGTCAGTAATTTTTTTTTTGGATTCTTCGTTTTATTTAAGTTACGGAGGTCACAATTAATCTATAATTCTATTTAATTGCCACCACAACTTTTGTTTATATTCAACCCATTTAATGCAATCAATTCGTTCTCTGTATATGCTGTAAGCACAAAATCCTCGTGCATCAATTGTCAATCAAAATCCCATGATTCTAGGTGACCTTGAAAGACTGTTTACGCGGAAAAAATTTCTCTTGTGATTTGAAACAATCTTATGGTCAGTTCCGAGTTCACACCTGTTTAAAAAATATATTGGGTCTCTGCCGGTGGGCCAGGGGTGCCGTATGTTTATCACACCTTTCAAATTCTTTAGCTCTGACCACAGCATGCAAGTGTATAACACACTCAGCTGATATCATGCAAAATTCATCTTCCAGGTTTCACTACAACAACGATTATAAAGTTACATGTACTTTGTTAATTTATTTATCCTTTTTCAGACACATATAAGCATGTATCCCGTAGATTAAGATTTTAAAAAACATAACATAAATTTGCAGACTTCTGGTAAAGTTTGAATTGAATTGAATTAGAAGGGGGGGGAGACCATTTTTAAAAATCACTAAATATCTGTATGTTTTCTCAAACTGTTTTTTTTTCTTTTCATTTTTCACATGATATATTTGAGAATGAAGTAATATTCGTACTGAAGTTAGTAGTAAGTACATTTCATTTGCCAAAAATTCAGCTGGTGATTTTTGTATTCGGCGTGTAAGTTGATCACTATTTTAATTAATGAAATTTATCAGATTATCGTCTCTGCCTGTTCAGTAGATTTTCGAGTTTACTGTATTTAATATTTATCTCCATATTTTACATAATTACAGATTTTCAGTGTTAGTCTTACTGCAATAATCCTTATCTGAACCTGTCCAATGATTCGCCGAGTATCAGTACCGGTATCAAAGAGCAGAATTAATGTACGCGTCTGATATGTATTTTTTTCTTTGAATTTTATTCTAGACACAGTACATATATATATATTTTTTAATTCTTACAAAATAATTAATTCACTTAGTATAATCACACATCTGATATGTACTACGTATGAATGCATACGTAGGGAAAAACGATTTTGTATCAACAATTTAATTGAACACAGTTAAAATCACAATCAAGTAATTCATTTATGAAAGTGTGTTTCCTCTTAGTGTAATATAATAATAGTCTATTGAACTTTCTATAACTAATATAATTAGGATTTAACTTGAAACGTGATTGTACATTTTTTTTTTTTTGGCTGGACATGAGTACGTTGTTATTAAATTTTAAGGCATCTTATTAGTTTAAACATCTGTATGCAATAAAATACCAATATTAATTTATGGAAAAGTACAACAAATATTTCAAAAGAAAGTTGATTTAATTTTATTAAATAAGGGCAATGAAAATGTTTAAGATATTTATCATCAGAACTGTGACACACCGTGTTACAAGGTGCAAAGAAACGCTGACTTCAAAGACGCCGACAAGGTTCGAGGTCCACATTAAAGCGTGGACTTGCCGTCCATGGGGCCCTGTGTTTTTTGCGGAAAACTTCTGGCCTGTACTGTATGCAAAATTTCTAAATCTTATGATAATTAGATAAGTTTCGGTGAAATAATAAACATGCGTTAACAATAAACAAACTACGTTATTTAACGTCACGTCAGCCGGTGATGTTTTCGCATGTGAAACAATCGGGATGCGTTTAATACTCTTCCTTCCTTGTTATTACATATAACATTACAGTCATGCCCTAATTCCAGAAACATTATACAGTATGTGATTTCAAATATTTTGGAATCATTCAATTTTTTTGTTGGATCTTATTAGCTCTTCTGAGCCAAAGGCTCAAAGAGCTAATGCTATGGCCATTTGTGCGGTGTGCGTAAACTTTTTACAATATGGGCCATAACTCAAGAACCCCTTGGCCAATCAGTACCAAATTTGTCACAGGGTATCCTTGGTCCAAGGGCTACCATTTATACTAAAATAAGGGTTGGGACCCTTAAACACGGGGAGATAATTAGGGAAACAAAACCAAAAGTACTGGTTGCTAAAAAATCTTCTCCATAACCACCTGGCAGATTTTCACCAAACTTACATACAAGGATCAGGATATGTTGAAGATTAAAATTTGCACGGGGAATTACCCTGGGGCAAAGGGCGTGGTCTCAAGGTCACTTCAAAGTTGACCTAAATTTACAATTAATAAAAACATATATATTTTGCTTATTATAAAGACTAGGATCATCAAATCTTGTAAGTTGATGCATCTTACGACTTCACATCATGTTAACTCAAAAGTAGGTCATGGTGATCTACTTTTTAAATTTTGCGGGGATTTTTCAAATTGATTTGAAGGCATATTTTGAACACTTTAAGGCCTATGATCATCAAACTTTGTCAGTTGATGCATCTTGGGTCCTCAACCAATGTCAACTTAAAATTAGGTCACCGTGACCTACTTTTTTAACTTTATGACTTATCTTTTTAAAAACATTAAATCCCATTATTTCAGACACTGGGAGGTTTAGAATCATCAAATCTTGTACTTTGATGCATCTTGGGACCTTGAAACATATTTATGAAAAAGTAGGTCACTGTGACCTACTTTTTGAATATTGCTGACATTTGTTTTCAAATTGTTTAAAACGCATATTTTGATTACCTTCAGACCTACGATCATCAAACTTGGTCAGTAGATGCATCTTGGGTCTTTGAAAAATGTCGACCGAAATGTAGGTCATGATGACCTACTTTCGACATTTTATGGCTTTATTTAAGTATCTTAGGTATTTATTGGCTTAGAATCATCAAACCTTGTGAGTCAATGCATATTTGGTTTTCGGAGAGTGACGACCAAAAAGTAGGTCAGAGTGACCTACTTTTGACATTTTATGGCTATATTTAAATATCTCAGGCACTTATTGGCTAAGAATCGTCAAACTTTGTCAGTTGAGGCATCTTGGGTTTTTGGAGAATGTCGACCAAAAAGTAGGTCACGGTGATCTACTTTTGAATATCTCATGTACGTATTAGCTTAGAATCATCAAACTTTGTCAGTCTAGGCACCTTGGGTTTTCGGAGAACGTTGACCAAAAAGTAGGTCACTGTGACCTACTTTTGACATTTTATGGCTATATTTAATTATATCTGGTACTTTTTGGCTCGGAATCATCAAACTTTGTTAGTTGAGGCAAAGGGTTTCATTGAATGTCCAACAAGAAGTAGGTCACGGTGACCTACTTTTGAATTTCTCAGGTACTTATTGGCTTAGAATCATCAAATTTTGTCAGTTTAGGCATCTTGGGTTTTTGGATAATGTCGACCAAAAAGTAGGTCACTGTGACCTACTTTTGACATTTGATGGCTATATTTAATTATCTGTGGTACTAATTGGCTTAGAATCGTCAAACTTTGTCAGTTGATGCATCTTGGGTTTTCAGAGAATGTTGACCAAAAAGTAGGTCATGGTGACCTTCTTTTGAATATCTCAGGTACTTATTTAATTAGAATCATCAGTCTTTGTCAATTAATGTATCTTGAGTCCTCAGAAAATTTCAATCAAAAGGTAGGTCACTGTGACCTACTTATGGTATTTTATAATTATATTATAATATCTTCAGTCTTAACTGGCTAAATATTATCAAACTTTGTAAGTTGATGCATTTTGGGTCTTATGATACTAATAGAGTTGGAGGCTTCTAATAGAAGTGATAGATTGTACAATTTATCAGAAGAGCGATTCAAGGCCCTTGGGCCTCTTGTTTTATGGAACTAATGGACTCTTCTCATCCACATATTTCTTACCTCATTGAATTGATTAATTAGGGTTACAAATTCATATTTGGTTTTGTGGGTTAAAGAGAACACATGAAATACTGTAGATTCCTTATTTTTCGCGAGTACTTATTATCATGGAGGACCTCTTCAACGTCAAATTGCGAGAATAATAATTTGTGAATGGACGGTTCATCAAGAGATTATACATTGTTTTTAGCACCATGAAAATAAATGCGGATAATTTTATTTTGCAAGTGGTGCTTCTCGCAAAATTACGTGATAATTACTTCCACGCGTATATTTAGGAATTTACAGTAAAACTTCCCGGTGACCCTTTAAAATGTAAGCAATCCACATAAATTTGCCCTGAATAAAACCAAATGGTTCTACAGTACTTTATTATGTAAATTTAATACAGGCATTGAAAGAGGGCAGAGAACCTGATTTGACTGATTACAAAGATTTTAAGCTGACCTGTGAAAACCTTGGGTACAAGATGCTTCAGAAGTTGGGTTGGAAGGAAGGAGAAGGTTTAGGTGCTGAGGGTCAGGGTATCAAGGATCCAATCAACAAGTAAGTTTTACAGGATGCAAGGATATTCAGTGTTTTTAGGTGATATAGAATTTGATTAAGACAAATTGTTTTTTAGAAGAACTTATGAAATAGACATGATAAAAAATGGTGCCTGACATTTGTCTATTTTCCTGTGTGTGTGTAAACAATTTTTCAAAATCAGTATTCCTCCTACAGTCTGATTTCAATACAACTTGGAAACAACAAACATAATTCTTCGTATTGGTTTTTGATGTCTATGAATGGTGTTTCTATGGTTATTTTGGTGTGATTGGTCAACAGGGGATGTTTACTCCTCCTGGTGCCTGATTCCACTTGTGATGTTTTCTTGTTGTCTAATGTGTTTGCTCTGCTCCTGATTTGATTGTTTCCAATGGCCTATTGAGCTTGAAGCTGTTCATTATCACCATTGTTTTTAGGTCACCTGAGTCACTCAGGTGACTTATTGCTTTTTAGCTCACCTGAGCCAAAGGCTCAAGTGAGCTATTCTGATCAAAATTTGTCCATTGTCTGTCATCGTTGTTGTTGTTGTCATCGGCGTTGTTGTTGTAAACTTTTCACATTCTCATCTTCTTCTTGAGAACCACTGGGCCAACTTCAACCAAACTTGCCACAAAGTACAGTGATTGGGAAGGGCATGCGCCATGCGTCATAGTCGCATTGAAGTGAAAATCAATCAATGTTGGCGCCCGGAGGTGCGCATTTAATTTTTAGCGATCGTATTTGGAAACATTTTGTGTACGACTTTCTTTAATTGTTTTACTTTCGTTTTAAATGCAGTCAATTTTAAAACTACAAATCTCATTGGTGGATGCCCTTCAAAAACTGCTTCCGGTTTAACAAAGCACTTAGATTTGGTACATTACAGCATTAATTTGTAGGGCAAGGTGGTGCTTAGTCCAAAATTTGACATGATTTAGCACCAAATATGGATAAATTATGTTCTGTTTGGGTTCCTTTAAATTTGCTGCATTGCATATATGTTAAAAGTTAGATTTGGTTAATTAAAAACGTGTTTTCTTTCGTATTTCATATTTGTTTGTCATTTTGTTTTTTCTTAAACTGGCCCGTCAAATTATTTTGATGGCCCATTTATTTTCAAAATGGCGCATTAAAAATGTTGACAGTTGCGCCATAGTCCCATTGACCTTTTTGGCCTTCCCAATCACTGAAAGTATCCTTGGGTGAAGGGGATTCAAGTTTGTTCAAATGAAGGTCCATGCCCTCTTCCAAGGGGAGATAATTATGAATTAGTGAAAAAGTAATGGCATGTTTTAAAAATCTTCTTCTCAAGAACCACTGGGCCAGGAAAGATGATACTCATGTGGAAGCATCCTCAGGTAGTGCAGATTCAAGTTTGTTCAAATCATGACCTCCAGGGGTAGGGGCCCATAATGGGGGGTCAAAGTTTAACATAGGAACATAAAGGGAAAATCTTTAAAAATCTTCTTCTCAAGAACCACTGGGCCAGGAAAGTTGAAACTCATGTGGAAGCATCCTCTGGTAGTGTATATTCAAATTTGTTCAAATCATGACCCCCGGGGATAGGATGGGACCACAATGGGGGTTCAAAGTTTAACATAGGAACACACAAGGAATATCTTTAAAAATCTTCTTCTCAAGAATCACTAGGCCAGGAAAGATGAAACTCAGGTTGAAGCATCCTCTGGTAGTGTAGAATCAAGTTTGTTCAATTCATGACCCGGGGGGATATGATGGGGCCACAATGGAGGGTCAAAGGGGCCAGGAAAGTTGAAACTCATGTGGAAGCATCCTCTGGTAGTGTAGATTCAAATTTGTTCAAATTATGACCCCCCGGGGTAAGATGGGGCCACAATGGGGGGTCAAAGTTTAACATAGAAATACATGGGGAAAATCTTTAAAATTCTTTTACTCAAAAACTGCAAAGCCATGATTGGTCATAGTTATAGGTAAGCATCTTCATGTGGTGTAGATTCAAGTTTGTTCAAATCATGATCCCTCTTGAACCTACTTTTATATTTAAATTTTTCAATACTGAACTGATTTTTAGCTCTACTGGACAGAGACCAGAAGAGCTTATGTGATAGTAATGCGCCCGGTGTCTGTCCATCTGTCTAGCTGTCTGTGTGTGTGTCTGTCTGTCTGTGAACAATTTTTCAAAATGCTACTCCTCCTACAGTTTTGGTCTGATTTCAATATAACTTGGCACACAAGTAGTCTACACTAAGATACATAATTCTGTGTAAGGAGCTATTCTCTGATCAAGCAGTTGTTATCTGTCTCTTGGGAACTGGGCTAAGGAATCAGCCTTAAATAGTTTTAGTGACTAGCCTAACTTATTTAATGAACTGAGAAAAAGCAACTTCAAGCTAATTTGATATTGTATAATAAACTATGAAATTGTATAATAAACTTAATTGATTTTGTATGATATAATTAAAACTAATTATATTGTGTGTGTATGTGGGGGTGGGATTGGAATCAGCATGCCCATTCTCCATATGAATTTCAGATTGAAACTTTTAATCTGATATCAAATCCAAATAAATCAACAACAAAAAAAATTGGTAGATAGTCCCTACAAATCTAAAAATTATGCAGGAACCTTATTCAAAATGATGCAATCAAGATTACACAAATTTTTTTTCAGTATAAATCTTGGTAACAAATTTACAAAAAATCTTCGTTTTCAGATTTAATTTTAGAATGACACATGCAATTATGCAATTATGCATTTTGATTGCACTACAAAGGAGAAATTTAATATCCATTCATCCCTTGATAGCTGTCTCAATCATTTCTGTTAGAGCATATCTCTGATCAAGCAGCTCTTTTCTGAATCCTTTGGGAATTAGACAGAAGTGCTGGTCAGTTTAAATAGCATTTGTCATTTGATGGCCAGTCTCCTATTTCTAAAATCAATTTGGTATAGATTAAAAAAAATATATAATGAGCAATTATATTTTCACTCAAATTGTTTCTAAGAAAATAGTGAACACCTCTTAATAGATCCATAAATATTTGTGATTTTGCACCTACTCTGAAAAACCCGCGGGGGGTTTTTGTCCCTATTGGACAGTTCTAGTTGATTTTGATGAATGGTGTTGCCGTTGTTACTAAAAATAGAAATTTCTGTGAAATTCTTTCAAAATGCATTGTCTCCTATAGTTTTGGTCCGATTTCAATATAATTTGGCACACAAGTAGACTACACTAAGCTACATAATTCTGTATATCGGATTTTGGTCAGTGGTGTTGCCGTGGTTACTAAAAATAGAAATTTCTGTGAAATTACTTCAAAATGCTATGTCTCCTACAGTTTGGGTCCGATTTCAATATAACTTGGCACACAAGTAGACTACACCAAGATACATAATTCTATATATCGGTTTTTTGATTTCAATGAACATTGTTGCTGTGGTTACTAAAAATAAATTTCTATGAAATTCTTTCAAAATGCTACATATCCTACAGTTTTGGTCTGATTTCACTCTAACTTGGCAGTTGGCAACACAAGCAGACTTCACTAAGATACACAATTCTATATATCAGTTTTTGACTTCGATGAACATTATTGCCTTGGTTACTAGAAATAGAAATTTCTGTTAAAGGTCAAGTATAATTTTTTTTGTGAAAATTCATAATTTTTCATTATTGTCAGCTTATGGAGCAATATGAATGACATTCGAGGTCTATTTATTTTTTTGTCACCAATTTCCATCACTAATATTTAAGTGACATTTTACATAGACCAGTGTAGGCTACATTTTAATTAATTATAAAATTATCTCACGAATTTCTTGGTTTTATTTAGAATTTAAATTGCATTTTTCAATTTGTCAGTTTAGGTATTTATAGATACAATTACTGTTTTGAGGGAAAGTTTTTTTATTATTCTTGTTACAGTACTCAACAAGATCAACAAGATCACAAGTACCTAACGATTGGTTCATGAACTTTGCCCCTTCCCCCCTACTGAAAATAAAACTAAGCAAAATATACATGAATTCCTTGTCCGTCATACCAATACTTCGATATTTTATATTCCCCGCTTTTGTCAAGTTTTAGAGATTGGCCCTTAACATTAGAGCATGCACTCGGTATATACTAGTACATGACTGAACATTACGCGGCGCCAAGTCAAATGTACATGTATTATCGGCGTAAACCTCTAACATGCTGGAGTAAATAAAAATACTAGTAATTTTCATATACTGTGAAGAAACAATCTCTAAAACTTTACTGACAATAAAGTGCCACGCCACAGCATGATATGCCTGTCAAAAAATTGCAATTATCTTAAACAGTTTAGAGTACAAGAAAATCATGTCAACCTTGATTCTAAGATTTCCATGATTTTTCCATTCCTTACAGTATTTGCTTATCTATCCCTTGTGCTGTGGGCATTAATTATAACAAATATTACATCATTGATAGATTTCTATACTGGTTGTGTTAAGACTTAGTCAAATGCCCATCATATTAAACAATATCAAATTAGTCTTAACAACTTAATCTATACCAAATTAATTTTGAAAATAAAGGCTGGCCATCAAATGACATATGCTATAAACTGACCACCAGTTTTTCTGTCTAATTCCCAAAGGATACAGATAAGGATGCTTGTTGATGATCAGAGATGCTCTAAAGAAATGATTGAGACAGCTAGCCTTCCTACATTGAACTCATTAATTAATCTTTGACTGGATGCTTGTCTACTCATTACTCCCAAAATATTAATGGATCTGCACTTTCTACCCTAAAACACTTTTAAAACATATAAAAATACTCAATGAATTTTTTTTTAGATTTAATGTCAGACAGGTTTCATATTTAATTCATATGGACAAGAAGGCATGCTGATTCAACCCCACCCCATAAAATTAGTTTTTAAATTAATCAATATTATATAATATCAGATTATTAGTTTATTATGCAATATCAAATTAGTTTAATTACTTTTCATCAAATTCATTTTAAAACTTAGGCTAGCCAACAAGAGCTATTTTTAATCCAACA